ATAGGGGATAAGGCCAGTCCTATCAGGTATAGTAAAAAAAAAATTTTCCTTAAAAACATAAAAAAATGTGTCTCAGAAACTCCAAAAATGACTTTTTATCATTTACTAAATGCCAGTTGGAAGCTGTAATGTATAATGGGATGCACACAACATGGGGACTCAGGGAATCCTGTCTCTAGTATGGTCATTCCTAAGCCTTGAAAATTAACCTGCCCTCTTTTTTTTTTTTTTAATATATTTTATTGATTTTGTACAGAGAGGAAAGGAGAGAGATAGAGAGTTAGAAACATCGATGAGAGAGAGTCATCGATCAGCTGCCTCTTGCACACCCCTCACTGGGGATATGCCTGCAACCAAGGTACATGCCCTTGACTGGAATCGAACCCAGGACCCTTCAGTCCCCAAGCCAACGCTCTATCCATTGAGCCAAACCGGTCTCGGCGTAACCTGCCCTCTTAACATTGGTATCTCCATCTATAAAATTTAAACTTTAAATTCAATCACTTTATTTAAAAATTATATTTTTATAAGTCACCAGCTGGACATACTCTTGACTTCTAAAACATACAACTATATTTTGCATATAGGCTAAGATACTTCATAGATATTCCATTTAGAAAAAGAGGCGGGGGAGTGATTTCTGTACTTTGTAAACTACATCAATGCAAAAAAAAAATTGTAGATGTTTTTGCTTTAATTCTAATACCATTTTATAATATTTTACAATCAGTTTTGTGGGCTTAAGGCAAAATATTCATTTTACATACAAATAATTTGATAGTTGGAAGTGAATTGCCCCATTCCTCTTTTCAGAGTTAAATAAAGTAAGGGCCCAAGAGATTAAGGAATTTGTTAATGGCCACTAAGTTTTGTGGCAAAAAGTGGAGGAGCTAGGGATTAAGAAATTAAAGAAAAAAAGAGAAAAATAGATTCAAGCTGGGATCCGGGTGGGGGCTGCCACTCTGATGGAGAGACAGTCAACCTCCCACCACAGACAGCACAGCGCATTTATTGATTTCCAGAGGGGGGTTACGATTATAGAAGTTTTGGGTGTGCCCAGGTCCTATTCATTCCCTCATTCCTGGGATTTAGCATATCCAGACCTGGGTAAGTCAAGGTCCTCTTTGTTCCTCATTCCAAGCACAAGGATAAAGATAAGAAATTGGTGCTGATTACACTCTCTGACATTTAGGGAAACATGTCCCTAGGGCGTGGCTCTGCCTATGCCTTGAGTTCAGCTGATGATAATTAAAGGTCATCCATGTGCATTCCTAAGGGGCCTTCTACAATTATTAATGTTTATAAAAGGCACCATGTCCACATAACTTGTAAAATACACTGACTCCCATTTATATTTACTGATACCTTTCAGACCTTTCCTTTATTAGAAATAGTTTTCAGGAAGAGGGTGGATGAGACATCTGAGAAACAATCAAATGTTTTAGGGTTAGTGAAAAGTGAAAAAAGGTACTAAGAGCCCAAGTTAATATTTCTCTAGATGGATCATTAGGTCATTATTATCTTTTTGCTAAAATTTTTTTGCAATATTATATCATTACTATATTTTTATATATTATTAATATTAACTTACCTATTTTTGTCTATCGAGTAAAAACCTAGTTTCTGTAAAAAAAAAAAAATCAGTGTTATGCATAATTAAACCAAATAGATAAATAAATACATTAGTAAATAAACACAAATAGTTAAAAGACATTATGTGTTTGTGTAGTGTGTGTGTGTGTGTGTGTGTGTGTGTGTCTATGCCAGATACCTAGATTCAATAAGCTTACCCCAGTCCTTACTGGTGTTTTGTATATAGCTATATTTTGTTGTTTTGTTTTTTCTTCTGATTGACCTATGAAAAAAGAAGATTCTTAATCTAGGTGTCTCAAACACTCATATGTTGAACTCAGTAGGGAAAAAGATAGAGCCATGGAATTGTACATAATAGAAAAAAACATTAAATCTGCCAACTACCTGGCCTGAGAGAATGTAAAAAATGTCCGCCAAAGTGTTAAGAATATATGTCGGAGAGGATAAAAGAGAGAACCCTTAAAAGTTACTATCTGGGAAGTGTCTATGTAATAAGTAAGTAGTGATGCATTAGCACATTTTATTTTAGTTAAAAGGATTGGAGTGTTTCTTGGCCCTAAAACGTTAATCCTATGGTTAATATTGATAGAAATAATTATCTGAAGATTTTAAAAAACTGGCTCTCATTAAGAACATGCTTAATTTAGATGGAAGACAGGCATTAAGCTGTGTTTTTGTTTCATGAACAGATAGATTTGTATGATATATTTTTTTAAAAAAAAATCATAAGACACAGTTCATCTGGTTAAGAATTCAAAATTTCCCAAGAACAATAGTAAATAAACAACATTTTAATTAAAACAATAAATATGAGAAACACAGTGCATGTAATAAGACAGGTTCAAATCTCGATCATTCAACTAAAAAGTAAATTTTAGGACATGTTGCATGTAAAAGTGCTTTTCGCACTGGGTTTGATAAGTGCTGACATTTGCCTTCTCTGTACCCTCTGGCATTTGAGTCCAAGTTCATCATACAATGTCCCAGAGATATGGCAACAAAATTAAACTTAACTCCCTTCATCACCCTTACCAATGCCACACCAGGAAAACAATGCTCCCCATCACCTGGCAGCTAATAACCACCTCCACTCTCTCCACGCTGCTGACAGCAGCTCCCCCACCAGCTGATGGAACAGATGCACCCAGACTGCTTCCTGAAAGCTTATAAGGCCTGGCTTTGACGGACAGCAGAAAGTGGCACAACGGAAAACAAAGGCCTTTCACGGGGGCCCACTTTGTTCTGGGCAGGACGTTAAGGTCACTCCAGCTCATTCTGACTGTGGGGATCTTAATTTCTTCTCAACCAATTTACTTGCAGCTGTCATTCTCTCCACTATTAAAGTTCAGCTCTTCCAGTGTGGGGGATTGGAGGGCGGGGGTGGCAGGCAATGAGAAGAGCTTGCTACGAAAACTAAAAACAGCAACAAAAAAAACAAGTAAAATCTGGCTTGGCTCTCCAGTACAAGAAGTTATTTTCAAAGCCCATAAATTATGACATAGCGATTAACATGTAATTTAAATATATTTAAAGAACAATTATATCACATTCCCAGCCCAGCTAATTGGCCTCACAGATGTTCCCTTGTAGCTGCACTGCCCTTCCAGGGGGAAATGAATGAGGTGCTTTTCATCACGGTAATGAGAAAAGAGAGAAAAGGGAAGAAATGGAAGCACAAATATAAAAAGCAGCCAATAACTCTACTAAACAATGGGTGCTAAAGGGGCTTTGCTTAGCATTTTTTCTATTTTAATGTAACAAAAAGCATTTAAAAGCAGCAAAAGCATGAAGAGGCTCCTATTCCTGTGATGGTATCTGGCAGTCGATCCTGATAGATTTGATCACAAAAAGACTTGTCAGGGCAGGGACAGTGGGTACATTCTAACAGGGCATCCCCTCACTTCCTGTGTCTGAACAGACTAGGTGTGAGGGCTACTTATCTACACTAATAAAAGAGAAATATGCAATTTGACCATACCTCTGTGACCCCCCCACCAGCCAATCAGGAGTGTGTATGCAAATTAACGCAACAAAGATGGCAGGTTAATTTGTATTTGCAGGTTCGGAGTGGCCTGGCAGGGAGGGATGCCTGCTATGAGAGGGAGGGAGGGCGGCGGAGAGAGCTACAGGAGCGGCACTCTGTCCAGAGCAGAGAAGACTGAAGGCTCTAGCCAGAGCGAACACTGAAGACAGTTGGTAGAGCAAAGATGGAAGGCGGCAGCCAGAGCGAAGGCCTGGGTCCCGGGTGCCTGAGGAAAACTGGTTCAGGCAGCAAGGGGAAGGAAGGCCTATTGCACAAATCATGCAACAGGCCTCCAGCTGTTAATATGATGCCTTTACAACTGAAGATGGTCAGGCCCGGATCATGAATATAGATATTAAAGTGTTTCCTGATGAAGAATCAAGGCTGTTTCCTCAGCATGATTCCCATCAGACATCGCCTAGCACAGCGACTCTTGCAAAGTAAGCGGTGAAAGGGACACTGGTAATTACTAATATTTTGTTACACCCTGTCTTCCAATATGTAATCACGTAACTGAAATAAATCTGCTGCTGCCTCATTTCCTTCTCGCCTTTTCTTCTAATCTCAGGTAATGTTTGATAGTTCAGTGTAAATTGCAAAAGGCCAGTGACCAGGTGTTTCTTAGTGCATCTTGACGCCTCCAGCATCTTCCACCATTCCTGTGCTTTTATTCTAGAGTCTTAATAAATCTTCATTAAATGCTTGCTAGATGATGAGGGTTTCATGATAAGGTAAAACCAAGGGTTGAAATACAATAAAGTTCCACCAAGCAATTGTATTTCTCATACTATCCATCTATTTTTTACATCACTGGACTATATACAAAATTCCTTTCCCAAATTATATGAACAATATATTTTATTTCATATCTTTCTAAAGGTTAGCAAAAAATACCTATATTTAAAGTGATGTAGAAGAGGTAAGCATTTTCTAAATACCTTTTTGAGAGAAATGTCATTTATAAGAGAAAAGTTTATGCTATGCTATGAGGCCATTTCAGTTATTAACATTAATGAAGAAAACTCTTCCTCGTTTAAAATTACAGTTTATCACTTACTGTTTTTCCCTTTCTCCTAGGGCTAATCAGAGGAGTAACCATTGTCCACTTAATTTTTAATCCATTTAAAAATTTTGCTTTTTCTACAAAATTTTCCTATTTAGGGACTGCGTTAAAATATTTATCAATAATATCCTCAAAACACACCAATAAACTTGCTTGTAGTCAAAGCGCATAGTATGTTGCCCTTTAGCAAACTTCACTGTTGGGCATGGTTTCCTCTCTGGTTCATACGACTCGTGTGGCTTTTCTTTTTCTTTCTTTTTTTTGTTTTTCATTCATATCACCTCTTATTATATCCATCATTCCATTTTTCTTTCCCATTAGAGTGAAATTGGACACAGCCCTCCTCCCGCCTACACCCCCATGTCAGGAGTAAGTATCTCACAATCAACCTTCATCTGTTAGGATGTTTGGTCTTTGTTTACCATATTTCCTCTCTCTGGTCTCCCCATAATCTCCTCATGTTACCTTTGCCAACAGTAAGTTAAGAATTTGCTGTAGATTATGAAGCAGCCTTTTTAGATATTTATGATTTCAGTAGATAATCCAAAATGAAGATAATATGCATCCACAGTAGCTTTTGATTGTTACCTGGGCTCATAAGTTATATCTCTAGTGAGGAGTTTATCTTGACTACCACTCTTGAGTACCATGATGCTAGGTTGTGTGCTACAAAGTCAGAGTCTCAGTGCTGATTCTCAGGTTCGGTACTGGAGACTCACAGTCACAGTAACTACGGAGTGGAATGCACTAAGGAAACACCACCATTCAGATGGCCCCAAAATGTGCTTCTGTCATTAATGGCAGCTGTCTGTAACTAACTATGTTGCTATATGTCATGAAAATTCAGTTCCGATTTTCTATCAAAAACGGACAATTGTGTGTGTGGGGGGGGGGGGGGGATGTGAAATATGTTTTATGAGATCATGTGGTGGTAGGTGCTTAGTAATATTAAAAGGCTGGCTATAGTTCCACATTGTTTACCATGACTTAAATTTTGAGAAAAATTGGAATTCTAGGTGAGATGAGTCTGTCACGCCACTAGGGAAAAATAAGGTACATGAAAACCAACCAACAAACAAAACCTGACATGTTTCTGAAAGAGGGGCTTCCATATCCTTTAGCTTTTCACTTTCATTTTGTACAACTGTTCCTAACCACGACTGTTGTCCAAATGTGTCTCTACCGTTGACAGAACCAGTTTGTGTACCGAGATGGGGGTTTCGCTGCGGAACAGGGGGTGCCCATGCCCTACAGAGCCACGACCAGCACCATCCCAGAAGCTCCCGTGGCTCAGGGGGCCACGGCCGAGATGTTTGATGACGCCTGCTGCAACGGCACCCTCCGCAAGCCAGTGGCCCCCCACATCCAAGAGGATAGCAGCACCCAGAGGTACAGTGCCGACCCCACCGTGTTCGCCCCGGAACGCAGCCCACGAGGGGAGCTGGATGAAGAAGGCTACATGACGCCGATGAGAGACAAACCCAAACAAGGTACAGACTGGGTGTTCAGAAATGATGGCCGTTCTGCACTCACATTCATCACAATAAGCCAAGTATACAAGGGGTACGGCCCAAGCCCTGGACTGTGCATCCTTTGTGACCCAGAAACAGACCTGGGCGGCTGCCATCCAGGCTGTGGTGTCTGAACCAGCAGCATCCGAGGCAGGGATGGCTTTTTAGAAAGCAGGACCTCAGGCCCTGCCTGGGTAAGAGCCTGAATTCTAACAAGATCCCAAGGTATTATTTTAACATGGTCAAGTCTGAGGAACACTCACCGAAATGGATCGTTCTTGAAATATTGGAATGAGGTAGCATATCACAATATTTCAGAACCACTGTTTTATTGGACTTACTGTGGCGATCGTAAAGATTGGGATTGTTGGCAAAAGTGTCCAGAGATTTTAATGGCACCAGTGAAAGATTTGGTGGATTCTTTAAAAATGGTGTCATTTAAATGACCCAGTTTATTACAGAAAATTATGATTTCTTCTGACACGTTTCTAACATTGAAGTCCTAGCCCTGCATATACTTACACATACACCGTTGCGTCTTAAAAGTATCCATACTTTGTGGTTTCATAAAGCACCCTAGTGGTTCCCTCTTATCTACTGTTTTATCTTCCATGTTTTTAGTTAGCCATGGTGAACCACAGTCTGAAACGATCAAATGGAGAATGACGGAAATAAACAGTTTGTGTTTTAAAGTGTGAGCTGTCTGAGCAGCGTGACGAAGTCTCAGGCCGCCCTGCTCTGACCCACTCAGGATGTGTGTCCATGTTGTGCACACTCTCAGCTCATTGCTCACTTAGTAGCCACTAGGTTTTCTGATGGATCGACGATATCAGTGATGGTGCTCAAGCATCCCTTATTTACTTAATAATTTCTACAAAGTGCAAGAGTAGGAAGGCTGGCGATTTGGATGCCAATGAAAAGCCATACAATGCTTTCTGTAAGTGAGAAGCTGTGTAGCTACAGGTTTCATCTATACGATCCGCACATTCAGGCATCCACTGGGGGGGTCTTGGGACATAACTCCCATGGGTGAGGGGAGACTAGTATACCGTGTTAGCGGTGGAAATGTTAAACTCCCAAATCAAGCAACATTTCCATTTTGCAAAAGCCTATTTTCTTCTACATTAAAAGCATCACAAAAAAGAAAATAGATGATTGTTATTCAAAACTGATGATCCTGTCTCAGCATCTTCAGTATCAATAGTAAACTGTATTTTACAACTCTGTATGAGGCCCATTATGTCCTGCAATCTATGGCTATATTCACTTTTATAAAATGTGAAATACACGTTGTAAATAGTCTATTAAAATATACATATACATTGAGTGGCCAGGTTATTATGATCTCTGAACGCATAATAAGCTGGCCACTCAGTGTATATCCTATATAATAAAAGGCTAATATGCAATTTGTCCCCTTGACCAGGAGTTCTACCAGCAGGCAGGCCAGCCAACTGCCCATGTCCCCTCCCCCTGGCCAGGCTGGCTGGATCCCACCATGCACGAATTAATGCACCAGACCTCTAATACACACACATACACACACACACACACACACACACACACACACACACACTGAGTAGCCAAATAATTATGCATTCATTGATCATAACAATCTGGCCACTCAGTGTATATACCTAGATATATAGATTTATTTCTTTTATATAATGTGTTTTTTTTTTATAACCCAGTAGTGACACAAATATAGGTTTTAGAGGCTTTGTCAGATCCCCCCTGAAAGTAGAATATTCTCTGGAAAGATTCTCAATTTTACCACAGAGTGACTCCTCCATGTATAACCACATGGTTGGTTATGTGTTTTATATTAGGATAATAAGTAGACTGTATAGAGAAAAAGTAACAAAAATATTCAAAGAGAAAGGCAAAGGTATAGACTCACTATAGAACATCCTCAGATTCTGCCTCTGAGTACTAAGAGACCAGATTTCTGTAGAAGGGATGCTTACTAGTAGTTCTGAGAGACCAGAGCATTTTAGTGTAGACATCCCTATACTCTTAAAGAAGCAGTTCAGAAATCTGGGGAGGGGGGGGGGAAAGCAATTTCTGCTTTTTAAAAAAAGTTTATTCATATATTTTTTCTTAAAATGACAGTAGCTTTGAGCCCTTTTCAAATTAAAACATTTTATCAAAGGTACAGTTCACCCTGCTCCTGTAGGGGCAATAATGAAAACAGTGCAGAAGAACAAGATGATTGCTCGGGAGGAGTAGGAAGACCTGAAGTTTAGTTCATTGCTAATTGTATCCTTCATGCATTATTGAATCTCTGCTTTCTGCCTATAAAGCTGGAAAAATACAGCTTGCACCTCTTTTTCCACAGGATTGATGCAGGATGAAATGAGAGTACCTTGTACGTTATTGAACTGTAATTCGTGTAGTATATGATGATGAGATATTCATTACCATCTTTTAACTTGCACATGATGCTAAATACTTAAGTACATCGAGTATGCCTATATCCAGGGGGAAATAACCCTGAGTGACATCGAGTATGCCTATATCCAGGGGGAAATAACCCTGAGTGACATCGAGTATGCCTATATCCAGGGGGAAATAACCCTGAGTGGATGAGACTTTTTTCTCTACATGTCAAACTAAGTATGGGGGATAGAGAGTTTATTTCAGAATGTTCGCATTTTAGCAAAGTAAGAATATCTTGTGTCACTTTTATGTATATACTAAAAGTCAAGACAAAACCATGATCTGTATATTTGAGTACATGTCTATATATATAGTCATAATATAGAGAAATTAAACTTGAGGAGAACGACATTAATTAGCAGCATTTTTAAAAAGAATTCTGGGCCAGTACCTATTTTAGATAATTTATTGGATTAAATTACACAAAATAGCCACTAATGGATCATTTCCAACCTACAAAATAGAGACGTTTTATACGGTTCAAACTTTTATAAGAATTCATGGCTTTCCTGTTCTGAACAAAGAAGCTAACCGTTCTGTATAACCTTGCTCTGATTAACCTTTTCCAGGCAGTAGATGTTAACTGATATTTTCGTATTCCGTCAGAATATCTGAACCCTGTAGAGGAGAACCCCTTTGTTTCTCGGAGAAAAAACGGAGACGTTCAAGCTCTGGATAACCCCGAATATCACAATGCTTCCACTGGCCCCCCGAAGGCAGAGGAGGAGTATGTGAACGAGCCGCTGTACCTCAACACCTTCGCCAACACGTTGGGGAACGCCGAGTATCTGAAGGGCACCGGACTGTCTGTGCCGGAGAAGGCCAAGAAAGCGTTCGACAACCCTGACTACTGGAACCACAGCCTGCCCCCTCGGAGCACCTTCCAGCACCCAGACTACCTGCAGGAGTACAGCACAAAGTATTTTTATAAGCAGAATGGACGGATCCGGCCCATCGTGGCAGAGAATCCCGAATACCTCTCTGAGTTCTCATTGAAGCCAGGCACTGTGCTGCCTCCTCCGCCCTACAGACACCGGAATACTGTGGTGTAGACTCAGCAGTGGTTTCAAGGTGGAAAGATATGCCCACTCCAATGTCCCTGCCACCGCTCTTTCTCTTATGGCCTCCCTTCTCCCAAGGCCAGTAGATTTGCAACTTCCCAGGGGAAGCTGTAGAGATGCAATGCTAGTTATGTGCTTATCTAACTTGAACATGAGAAGGAAGGACTAAAAGAGAAAGACAGGAAAGACCACACTGTTTCTTCATTTCTCTGCATGGGCTGGTCAGGAGACAGAACCAGCATATGCAAGGCAATACTGCCAACTGTCAAACTAGTGTTCCAATTTTTTTCTTTTTTTCAAATTTCTTTCTATCTTTTTTGAAATGCAGAGTCTTCAAAGATCCATGCTATCTGTTCCTGTCTACAGGAACTGCTGTGTACCAGTTTCAGCATCCCTGAAAGCCCAAATAACCTTTCCATTAGAATAAGAAAAAACATAACCTTTTCTACAACGTGTAATATAACACATGGAGACTCCCAATTGCTTTCTCCCACTGTTTCTATCCTGACAAGCAGGAGTGGCTAACTTAGCTTTCATTTCTGAACCTACATCAGAGTTATAATTTAATTACGTTTGGAGGGCTTTCTTGTGTCCTTATTTATTATTTTCCTTTTTGTTTTTGCTTTGCTCTAGTCCTTCATATTACTACTTTCTCCCCTATTTTTGGCTTTAATTTCTAATTGCAAATTTTTTATACATTGATATAAATTGGCAGAATTTAGGAAAGGAAGTGGAATGGCCACTATTTAAAAGATATTGTCTTTTTAAAATTAGAAAAGGAGGCCAAATGTTAATCAAATATAGCATCAGATCTCACTTTTGAGTTTTACACTATTGAACATGTACCACCAACCCCATTCATTTTCATCTTTCAATGTGTTCTTCTCCTATATAAATGACAGTACTTGATAGGCAGTTGGTAATTGTTAAAAAAAAAAAAAAAAAAAAAAAAAAAAGAAGAAGAAGAAGAAGGGAAACTAAGAGACAGTTCTGTGTGGTTTATGAAAACTACTGATATTTTCAGGGGTGATCCCATGGGGAATCCATTGAACTGGAAGAAACACACTGGATTGGGTATGTCTACCTGGGCAGATACTCAGAAACGTAGTTTGCACTTAAACTCTAATTTTATTTGTTCTCTTTCTGAACTCCATTTTGGATTTTGAATGAAGCAATATGGAAGCAACCAGCAAAATAGCTACTTTAAGTACATTTTTTAAAAAAAAAAAAGTGCTTAAAGAAAGAAAGACTGGAAATACCAAACCAAGCAAATGAGGACTTTGGAACAGTACCCAGGGATTATGGTGACAGGGACGGCACATGATGTACACGTGATATCACATTTGCTACGCAAGGAAAGTTGTCCATTTTGTATATTGGAAATTAAGAAATGCAAGCAAGGATGGGCTTGAATTCCATGGAATGTCTAGTATGAGACTCTATTTATAATAAGGGGAAGGTAACTCTTTGCACATAAATTGGTATAACAAAAAAGAAAGACAAGCATTCACAGTTTATACAATAGATAGGTCCTTGGGTCAAAACTTGTAAATAAACCTGAAGAATATTCTCATGTGATTATTTTAATATCCCACATACTAATCTTTTGATACTTTATATAATAACTCCTTTCCTCAAACACAGCATCCTAGTTCTAGGACCATCTTTATTATATACTGTTTCACGAGAACACTGCTGCGTTAAGACGAGTAATGGGAACAATTGGTAGGAATGAGTCTCCAGAAAAGGGAACCTCAGGTCAGTTATCAGGAGAATTGGATATGTCTCTTTTCTAGGAAAATCCATCCCAAGTCATTTAGATTTAATTTTTTTCTAATGTTGGCATTGTGGGATCAAATTTGACTTTATTATAAGAAACAATTAGACTAAAAATCTCCAAATGTTAAAACAGAGAGTTTGGGAGGGGAGGGGGGATGCAAAAGAAAAAAATATATATAGGTTTCTGCTTATTTTGAAAATGTAAATCCATTAATACCTTCAACTTATTTTTTTTTTCAATTAATATTTATTTAGAGTCTATTAAAAGCACTGTGTTATGGGGTAAATACTGAGATAAATGTAATATTGTACCTAACTTAAACATTTTAGTCTAGATATATTTGGGATGACACTTGAATTTCTTAATAAATTTAAAGAATAAGATTGCATGAACTTTTTGTGAGTAGTCATCATAAAATCAGCTGTTAGTTAAAAGATCTCTAGTGAATTCATTTGAGACACAAATGAAAGATCCTACAAGTTACTGAAATATACGAATAGGATAGTTTCAATGCTATCATCTAAGCACAAACCGGTCTAGAAGGATGTTGCATCACTGGCCTGCTGGCCTGCCTGGATTCTAACTTGATCATTACATCAGCAGTCGATGTTGGTCTTTGGCCAAGAACGTTGGAGGCATTCGGATCAGTTTTGTTCTACGTTATGAAAAGAGAGGTAAGCTAAAAGCGTGAGGAAAAGCAAGGAAGGGATTTCTGAGATCCTTCTGGAAAAGTTCAGCCATAAATTTCCCAAGAATAACTCAGATGCCACAGCTTGACAGCTTAGAGCACTCTCACCCATTCAGAGGAATCTCCAGGAAAAGGGGACCTCACTTCAGTACTTATCAAAATTTAAATATAAGCCTCCAACTTCTGGATAAATCTGTACCAACTTGGCATTGACAGCATGCTTGTTGAATTCTAGAGCTTGATTTTTTTTCTTTTGATTTACAGTATTTATATGTTGTTTTTTTGTGATATGGAAAGCACAATCATTTATTTTGTGGAAGGATAGAACGATATATTTTTTTTAACTCTTAAGGTAATAGAAATGTATCCAGTGAGTGTAATCTTTATCCTAAGAACATGAGACCCTTGGACACCAGGTAATCTTCCACTAATAACTGGAGATAGATGTGAGTATAGCCTAAAATGACCCAACGTGTTTCATGAGGGCTCCACGCCCTTGTTCCTTTTGAGTGCTTTGTGTAGCACATCCTTGATTTCAGATGTTTTAGGGTTTTCCTTTTGTTAGATATTTGTTCCCCTTGGAAAACATATTTCAGAGTGGATGAGAAGGAGAAGAAAAATTCCATTTGTTCCAAAGAATAAGTTGGTGAGCCCAGTGGAGCGTAATGTTCCAATGCCAATCAGAGCCTGAACGGTGCATTGGAATATCATGTTCCTGAGGCCAGATGTATCCGTGCTAATATGCAGAATCAATTCAGTAAATTTGAAGAAAATGACTATTAAAGTTGCATAAACTATATTTTTTTAAATCACCCAGTTTTGTAGTTTATACCTACTTTAGGGAATCTTATTTTCAAGTATGAAAAGCGGTATAATGGCAAGGTTGTTGAAAGCAGTGCTTAGACAGGTGAGCAAAGATGTTCTGTAAACCAGGGTAGACACAGAACCACACCATGCGGAGGTGCTTGGGCTGCTGAGCAGCGGCTGGTTTTCCAAATGGTAGTGGCACAGGTTAGGATGAGAGCTCTTAAGTAATAATTTTGAAATAGCATTAAAAAAAGGAAATACTCCTATTATATTAAAAGATGCAAAGTAAAAACAGGGGACTCTCTCTTAGTATATCAAGAAGAATGAGTCTCTGTAGCTTCAGAGAAGAAAGAGTATCCTTCTAAGACGTGTTATAATGTGTGCTAATAGCTTCTAAAGGCCGGACATGGCATGAAGGTTAGGACTATCCCCAATGCCAAGGACAGACCCTAAAGGACTGTGAGGTCTGCTGCTATCTGAAGTGAGAGGGACTATCGGTGTGCTTCTGGAGGTGTTGAAAGTAACAAGAAAAATTTAATTCTTTAAGCCCGACAGGGAAGGATGTAAATACAAGTTTTTTCTAGCTATCTAACCTTTATTTAAAACTTGAATTCTCCATCCATCTATAAATGTTGATTATTTAACTAGTGTATGTAGTTCATAAGGTATTAGGAAGGGTGATCACGAAAGCATGTATATAACTGGCCAGTCCGTGAAAAATGCTGTAAGGTGTAGATTTAGTTAGGTCATCAGACATTAAATGAGTTTAATATTATTAAGTACATTAAGATAGAAAACTGACCACATAATACAATGTAACAAAATAAAACGCAGGATATGAGAGTGTAGGATGGATTTTGCAAAGTAAAAAATAAGTTTATCCCTTAAAATTGCTGTTTGTTAGGTATATCTGAAAGTAGGCATGTAGAGAGCTGGTTCCACGTGTAAAACGGCTTTAAAGAACTACACTTTATTTTTTTCCTCATACCCTTACTCCTTTACCTTTTTAAAAAGGTACTAAGTGTAAAGAGGCATTGTTAAAATGTGTTTTGAGAGCACCACCTTGAAGAGTTTAACAGGCAAACCTGTTAATATGACTTGAAGTGAGAGGTTTCCGAATGAAGTCTGGGAAATGTAAATGTTCTGTTGCCTTAGGCAGAGACAAAGAATGAGCGGTGCCATTTACCAAGCAAACAAAACATTTAATTTGTGACATGTCCTTTCTTTTTCCTTGATACCTCCAGTTTCCTAAAACAAACAGGAATTAGTTAACAATATTCTAATGAAGAAATGCTAAAACCATTTCCAACTGCTGCATCTCCATTATTTTGAACTCCAGTTATTAGACTGATTATTTGTAGTACAGCAAACCAGAAATCCAGGTGTGTAAGCCGCTAGTTGTTTAAAAAAAAAAATCATCAGATAAATTCACCCCTATAGATGCTATGGACAGAGAATTCGGCTGGGCCTCTGGTGCATATGGAATTTTGAAGGACCGCCTTGAACCCATGTCGATACATAAAGGCAGACTCATGTCTTCTAATTGCCATTTGTTTAAGAAAGAATAGCACTAGAAAAATAGATTGGGCATAATTTAACATACTGAGATCAGTGGAGGCCTTACTATTACAGATATTACAGTGGGGCCAGGTTTTATATTTCTGGGTAGAATTAATACAATATTCTAACCCCATGATGTCTCTGCAGTTGTCTCTACAGTTACAACCATAAAGCTGTTGTGGGCACCTTGTTGGGTCAGGAAAACCTTGTCTTTGTGTGGGCAAGTGGCTTTTAACACCACAGGCTGCTTTGTTATGTTCAATAACAGAGAAGGCCCCATTTAAAAAAAAAAAAAAAAAAGAAGAAAATTCAGACACTCTGTTCAAATCCCCCTGATTTTGCAAAAATGTAGGCTGTGCCACATTTGCGGGCCCCTGCCTCACCTTCCCGGCCAGGTGATATTTGGGCAGAAGAGAATACTTCTCTGGTCATGAGCTGGAAAGGCTCTAAGCCCCCATTTCGGGGTGTTCCCCTGCTTTCCCTGGAAAATGCCCTTTGACCCTCCGTTTTAGAAGTGATTGATTGTCTTGGTAGGTATCACAGAAATGCTCATTTCTCTCTGGACCTTCGAGGAAAATACTTTCCTTTCCCTTCCCCATTGGCACAACCACCTGCATTGTCTTCACTCCCCCCCCCCCCCCACCCCCCGCCCCACTCTAGTTTGGAGTGGTCGCCTGGATGCTGTTCCTCTCTTAAGCCATAGTGGATCTCCGCAGTCCCGCACCCTGCTTTGTGAAATAGTGACTTAGCCTCTGCTCCGGCATGCCTGGCTTCTTCATAAAAGACCCCAGCGATTTGGACATGATTTGAACTATGTACAAATAAACCACTGCACATAGTATACTTGGTGATATTAATTTTTGCTTCGTGTCTTTCCATGAAGA